TTAAATACAGTGTTCAGAGGAGTGTGTGCAAAGGTAAAATTTATGTGAAGATCTAAAGGAGATGAGAGAGCCATGTGGATGTCTTTCTGTAAGAGCCTTTAGTTAAAAGGAACAGCAAATGAAAACAGTGAAGCAGAAGCATAACTGGCATCATCAGCGATCAACAGAAGAGATCAGTTAGTGGGGCAGAAGTAGGTTGCTGGAGGGGGAGCTGAGGAAAGGAAGTGGGGCTGTAGAAGTCCATTACTTACAAAGATTTATATCCTTTTAAAGGACTGTGGTTTTTACTCTGAATGAGATGGGTGTCATTTCAGCATTCTAAACTTGACTTCTTTTTAACATTCTCACTCTGACTGCTAGGTTGAAAACACGTGTAAGAATATTACCTTAGTACAGTAATTTAAATAATCCAATAAAGAAAACAAAAGCACAGCATGAATTCTAATATTACTTTCCTTTTCTAGAATCTGCCATGGTTCTTGTTATCTACTGTCTTGCTCTGTTTTATTGTTTATGTTTTCAAGCTCTTTGTCATCTTGCCACATCATTTCTGTTTAGTCCCATTTCTTCCAGTTCTTTCAGACCTAGGAATAATTCTTCTTGTCCTAGTTCTTCTGCTCCTAGGACAAATTTGAGCGTGATTCCATTACCTATAATTTGTTCTAGTAAAAATAACTGGAAGGTTTTACATAATGGACATTGAACACACAAAAGGTTTTGTTCTATAAATAAATGAAATGTTTTAGAATTCTTCATTTAAATACTATTGAGGCTCTTAAACATGCAAATAATTGGTTTATTTTCATCATCCTTTCGGTCAAGTGTTCTAGTTGCGGAAAACAGAATCTGTTCTACCTAGTGACTTACGAAAGGGTAATGACTAGGTAACAGAATCTTTGGGAGTGACATGAAGTTAGATATTTTTGTTACATAGCTTGGAACCAGGCAGCCAGGAAAAATATCCAAGCATGCCATATAGCTGATCAAGCAGCATCTCCATTGCCTTCATTGCCCACAAGGTACCTATGAAGGGCCAGTTTCTAGAACTTTTTTATTAGAGCTACCGCAGAAGAAACAGACACCTTCACCACTGTACTTGTAAGACCACTGCTCAGATCATTCACTTCTTTCCTCCAAATACTGCATACTTACGTATACTTGGCTCATTGTCTAAAACCTTAGCTGGTGTGGAGTCTGGAAACTGTTGTGTGTACTGTTCTGTCCTCTGCGGTATATGAAGGTATGCCTGAAAGGTCTGAAAGATTTTACTATTTTTGAATATCTACCATTATAATAAAAGAAATGAAATAAAAATGACAATGGGATATCCTTTTTCATATTAGTTTGGCAATATACATTTCATAACTTTCATGTTAAAAATAACAGGGAAATAGCCACTCAAATTCTGGTAGGAATATAAATTAGTAAAACATGTGGTGGACAAATTGGCATGAACTGTCCAGATTGCAAATGAGTACACCCATTGATTGAACAGTTTGGGAATTTATCTTACATAGTCACATAGTTTGGAAAAAAAAGTCTGTTAATAGAGGACTGACTAAATACATTACAGTGAGTCCACAAAAGGGGAAATTCTACAGGCACTGAAGAGAAGGAGATGGTGTACCTTTGTGGGCTGATTTGGAAAGATCTCCAGGGTATAGTAAGTGAAAGAAGCAATTTCAGAATGGAGTATACATGTGTGATATTATGTGTGTAAGAGAGAAAGAGAGACAAAGGTTCTGTGTGTATATAAACTGTAAGAGAATTTGTTTCTGGGAGATCCAGAAAATGAGAAATTGATGTGACACACTGGGACTCATGCATACCATGTAACTGATTTAACTTTATCTGCCCTTCCATTCTAAACAATAGCTTTGCTGGATAGAGTCATCTTGGATGTAGGTCCTTGCCTTTCATGACTTTGAATACTCCATTCTAGCCTCTTCTCGCCTGTAATGTTTCTTTTGAGAAATCAGCTGATAGTCTTATGAGAACTCCTTTGTAGGTAACTCTTTCCTTTCCTCTTGCTGCTTTTAAGATTCTCTCCTCATCTTTAATCTTGGGTAATTTAATTATTGTGTCTTGGTGTGTTCCTCCTTGGGTCCAACTTCTTTGGGACTCTTAGCTTCCTGGACTTCCTAGAAATCTATTTCCTTTGCCAGATGGGGGAAGTTCTCCTTCATTATTTTTTCAAATAAGTTTTCCATTTCTTGCTCTTCCTCTTCTCCTTCTGGCACCCCTGTGATTTGGATGTTGGAATGTTTAAAGTTGTCCCAGAGGTTCTAATCCTCTCCTCATTTTTTTGAATTCTTATTCCTTTATTCTGTTCCAGTTGAATGTTTATTTCTTCCTTCTGTTCCAAATCATTGATTTGAGTTCCAGTATCCTTCCCATCACTGTTGGTTCCCTGTATATTTTTCTTTATTTCACTTTGTATAACCTTCACTTCTTCCTCTATTTTACATCAGTACCCAATAGTTTCTGTGAGCATCATGACTACCAGTATTTTGAACTCTACATCTGATAGGTTGGCTCTCCTCATCATCAGTTAATTCTTTTTCTGGAGTTTTCATGTGTTCTTTCATTTAGGCCATACTCCTTTGTCTTGGCACACCTGTTCGTTGTAAGGAGCAGAGCCTTAGGTATTTACCAGGGCAAGGCAACCCTCTTCACTGCATTGTGGTGTGTCTTTTGGGGAGGGGTCAGAGAGGGAACAGTGCCACTTGCTCTGCTCCCACCCCACTTTCCGTCACTTCCCCTGCTACCCACTAGCGAATTGCATATTTCTGGTGCTGGTTCCCCAGGTGGGTGGGTTTGTGTATATTCTAGGACCCCATCAGTCCCTCCAGTGGACTTTCCTATGAGAGTAGGAGATTGTCTCACCACCACAGCCCCCACAAGTTTTTACTGCCTGGGGTTTGAGGCTTTATTTCTCTGCACTGGAACCCTGGGTTGCATGGCCTGTCTTGCTCCCCAGTTGTTTCTCCTGGTTTATTTCCAAGCAAATGCAGGACTGCCCTGTCTGCCAGACACTGCCTTGCTGCGTGTCCTCTCTGCCCCAGCTGCTGGTCCCTGCGCCTCCTATAGTCAGGACAAACGTTTCTTCTTTAATTCCTTGGTTGTCGGACTTCAAACAGTTTGATTTTCTGGCAGTTCTGGCTGTTGTTTTTTGGTTTTGGTTTTGGTTTTAAGTTGGTGATTGTCCTCCTTTTGGTTTTGCAAGGAGGCAAAATATATCTACCTATGCCTTCATCTTGGCCAGAAGTCTTAAAAACTGTTTTGAGCAGTGGAAAAAATGTCAATAGGTATATTGCATTAAATGGAGAGAACTTTGAAGGTGACTGAAGTTTAAATGTGTAAGAATAAATACACAAATTTTAAAAGTAAATTGTGGGTTTTTTGGTCCTACCTGGTATTCATGAGTAGATTAAGATAAACACGCTATATAAGGAAATTTTTCTTAATGATACTAGGGTGTTGCTTTTTGGTGGGCTCTATGCTATAACTGATATTAATGACACGGGTAGTTGGAAAATAGAAAATATGTCATTGATGACTTCTGGAAGTGAAATGGGTTATGTTTTGTAAGACATTTTACCATTTTAAACATTAGTTTTATATGTGAAAAAGATGATACAAAAATGTGATTAACAGATGCATGACATTCATATTAGTTCTTAAATAAGAACTTAGTCCCTTTTCCTTCATGGTAAAAAGAAGCAATAGTGTTTTTAATATAGTGTAATGTGTCTTTACTAACATATAAATGTTAATGCAAAGAGAACAATTTATATTCACTTTTGTGAATTAGTACGGCAAATATGAGAAAATTACTAAAACCTTTACCTTAAAGTGTTGTATATTTCATTGGGATTTTTGTGTTAAAGTAGGTATTCAAGAAAATGGTTAATTGTTGATACAGGAAAGTATATAATTAAATGTTCCGATAATATGTTTTGTCTTATTTAAGGAGACTTGCAGTGCATCTCAACATAATATTTCTTTGACTACTTGCACATATTTATTTCTCCCTCATGCTTTCTACCCCGATAATATTGGTGTGCTTTCTTTAATATAATCTTGGTTTAGAATTTTGATCTGTTCTAGACCCTCAACTACTTCCTTATCTGAAGAGTCCAATAATATTTTATGAAAAACAATGAAAAGATGGAACCTTGAATAACCGACCAGTTTGAAGTCAGTTTGAGAGGGGATAGGCTTAAGGCAAAAAGGAGAACCTGCCACTGTCCTAGTAAGATGTTATGGTCCAGTCTCAGTTTTGAGCCTGTAAGTCAGTAGTCTCCAGAGGAGGGTACACAAACCTGTGTATTTTGAAATGCTAAGAATATTAGAAAATTTACAATGTGTATCTTGGTAATAGTACATGATTTTAAGTTTGGAAATACTGACATTTAGGTATTTGATTGTTTCAGGTCCAACCCCCCAAAAAAGTATCGGTTGGAACCAAAGGATGAAACATTTATAATTCTGAAATTAAACTTGGAATGTGAACACCAATGTTTTATTTTCCTTTAATAATTTGGATAAACCTTGATGGAAAATGTTGAGGCATAAACGTGCTTATAGTACTGCAAGGACATTTGTCCAAATTGGGTTGCATCTTTTTTGTCTTAATGTTTGTACCAAGCTTGTATACCATGGATGAACATTTTATAGCCTAATGTTTTCTCTTAGATCTTTTGCCATCTGAAAATACAGATACTATCAACACCAAAACTATGTCCTTCACTTTCAGTTAATTGTAATTTCAGCCCATTATACATTGGGTAGCTTTCCTCAGTATCCAGTTTACATTTTGTAATTGTTGTATGCCACACAGTACCAAGAGATACCATTTTTCACCTTATTCACCTTATTTTTCTTCTTCCGTGTATCCAGTACATTGCGGTAGGCATCATATGAGAGACCAGCAAATGGTGATGGCTATAATTTATGAATTTATGACTAATTTATGAATATTCATGTTTTCATCTCAGATATTCAAGATTAAAGCAGTCCAGTTGGCTGAGAAACTCCTTCCTGCCTTTAATACACCTACTGGGATTCCATGGGCAATGGTGAATCTGAAAAGGTAAATTCTGTTTTTATGTGGTATTCCTATTTTAGAATTCTATCTTAACTTATCTATTAGGGTTTTTATTTAACTTATTCATTAGCTAGTTTTTAGTGGTTGCTATAGGAATCACACTATACAGAATTGATTTTTCAGGTAACAGAGTCAATATTTTAACTCTTCATGTAACAGATAGAAACATTTCAACCATACCTATTCATTTACACTATCGTTCGCATCCGTATTGTGTTAAGTTGTGAGGTGAATTACATCTTAACACACTATTAATCTCAGAATACATTATTAAAATATTAAACAAACCTATTTATTTTATAGAATTGAGGGGAATAATAGTCTAATATTTACCCACATGTTTACTGAATAATAGTCTAATACTTATGAGGCAGTATATTCAGTATTCTTCTTTTCTCTTTGAAGATCTGAGTTTTAATGTGGTATTATGTCACTTCAGTCTGAAGAATTTTATTTAGCATTTTTGTAGTGCTAATCTGTAGGGATGAATTCCTGTTGTGTTTTTTTTGTTTGTTTGAAAAAGTCTTTGCTTTCATTCTTAAAGGATATTTTCAGTGTGTGTAAAATGTTTGATTAATGGTTTTTCTTACTCTAAAGATGTTGTTTCTCTCTCATCTGGTTTTCATTGTTTCTTATAAGTTAGAACTTGAATGATCATTATCCTGTTTTATTCTTTCTGTATCCTGCTTAGCCTTTGCTGATGAGCTTGTTGAATCTGAGTATGTCTTTCACTAAGTACAATAGTAAAATTTTGGTTATTATTTCTTCAGATGTCTTTTCATCCTCATTTTTTTACTTCCTTTTGCAATTCCAATTCTTTGTATTTTACATGTTTATTACTGTCCCATAGGACCCCAAAGGTCTTGTTTTTTTTCCTCTCTCTCTCTCTTGTCTTTTCTCCGTGTTCAGTAATTGAAGGATTTCCTTTGATCGTGTTCACTGACTCTTTCCTGGGTTGCTCTAATCTGCTCGTAAGCCTACTTATGAATTTTTTTTAGAGTTTTGATTTGCTGCTCTTTCATTCTCATTTTCTGCTGAGATTTTCTAGAACATATTTCCCTATACTTCATCAAGCATAGTTAGAACAGCTCTTCTAAAATCTTCACATTGCTAACGTCTAGGTCATCTTGGAGTTTGTTTCAGTGGATTATCTTTTACTGAGTTTGGGTAACACTTTGAATGTGTCCTAGACATTCTGAAAGTTTTGTTGTGGAGACTCTGGAATCTCATATTTTTCTAAGGGGTGTGTGCATGCGTGTGTGTTGTCTGTGTGCTGTTAACTAGTTAGTTAATTTAGGTGGATTCAAAGTGTAAACTCTCTAGGATTGTTCCTCCCTGTTTTTTCAGCAGCTCCAATTTCTACAGATCACTGGCTTCCAATTCTTCAAGACAGAAAGACTGCATGTTTTCCATCAGATGTTAGTTCTTTTGTCTAGATTGGACTTTGTCTTTGGGCTAAAAGCTATTAAAAAATGGAAAACATGTCCCTCGCTCACCTGTTTTTCAAAGTTCCCATTATTTTCAGGATTGCCTGCCTTTGTTCATTCTTCAGTGACTTTAGTTCATTGCCATTTTGTTCTTTATCCAGAATTTATTGTTTTATTCCCCACATGGAGAAACTAGTTCAGTCACTAGAAGATATCAGCATCATAGTGTAAGCATAAATTAGAAAAATTTTGTTAGATTTATTTGCAGTGTCTTGATTTTTAAAAATGTTCTGATAAATGGTATTTAAAATTTTTAATTTTCTACTTCTGGAACATAGAACACAGTTGTTTTTGTAAACTTAGTTGGAGTTCAATCTTGCTGAATTTGCATTTCCTTGGTAATATCAATAATTTATCTGAAAGTCCCCCCCACCCCCTACTGTACTGGCTATGATATTGAATAGAAATGGTGATCACAGACATTCTTGTCTTAGCAGAAAGTGAGTTTTTTACCAGTAAGTATGATGTTAGCCATAGATTGTTTTGTAGATAATTGTTATTAGTTTAAGGCAGTTCTATTTATTCTAATATTTTAAAGGGTTTAATATTATGGATTTTTTGAAACTTTTTCAAGTAATTTGTCTATAGTTTATTTCTAAGTCTTTTTATTACAGTCATTTACATTGATTTATTTTCCAATGGGAAACCATTATTGCATTCAAGGAATAAATCCAATTTGATCATGATATAATATTCTTTTTATATATTGCTGGATTTTTGCTAATATTTTGTTTAGGGTCTTTGCATTTTTTTTGTGTGTGTGTGATATTGATCTGTACTTTTTCTCTTGATATTCTTGTCTAGTTTTCATATCAAGGTTGTGCTTCTCTTATAAAGCATGTTAGGTAGTGTTCTTCTCTTCTCTGGAAGAGTTTGTATCAGAATTATTTTTTTATCCTTATGCTTGATAGAAGCTTCCAGTAAAGCCATTTGGGTCTGGAATTTTGAGAAAGTTTTAATACTGCTGATTTTATGTCTTTTATCACTTAAACAAATTACATTAGATAACTTGTTTTCTGTTTACTTTAAATAAATTTTAGTAAGTTAAACTTTCTTAGGACTTTGGTCATCTAGCATAATATAGTAATTACATCCTTGTATTTATTTACTGTCTATATTACATGTTACATTTTTTCATTTTTATACTAATATATAGTCAATAAAGAATGACATTCAGTTTTTTCTGCATACCCCTAACCAAGATACTGTAGATATTTTCAGTGAATAATACACACTTTTCACTTTCAAAGGACCAACCAGAACTGCATGAAATTCAGTCAAGTGACACATGGCAGATACCCAACTAATTTGTTACAGAGGACATCAGTTTGCAATTAACACGATACGAGATCATCAGAGAAAAGGAAGTTAACTTTTATTTAAGAAGATTAGGGAGTTTCCAGGAGCATTTTAATTTGTTTTTGTGAGGGAGTGAGAGATATTAACAGGTGACAGATGGTGTAGGGCTTCTTGAGTGGAGGAAATAATTTAACCAAAAAGAGATGTGGAAATGGGAAGATACAGGTAAGAAACTGACTTTTAGAGAAATGGCTGGTGATGAAATATGGGGGACCAGTATATATGAACCTCCAAATGCCTCAGCTAGTCCTCTGAGTAAGGAGATTTATGAAAGGGCAAATTGCCATTTTTGTGGAGAGCCTTAACCTTTATGCCCACCTTGGAGTTACTGAGATATATTTCAGTACCAGGAGATTAAAGGAAGAACTGAAGAGGGCATTTGAAATTCTTTTCTCTGAAAAAGTAACAAGGCATGTATAGGGCATAAATGAAGAGGGTCCTGCTCATTACTGATGCTCCCTGGTTTGGCAAGTTAACTCATGCAACAAACTTGGAGCACTTTTCTGGAAGTCCTTTGCCCTTCTGAAGGCAGCAACATTCTCAACAGCAGTGATGTGTGACACTTCACTGGATTCAGTCCTCTTGCTTTGTATATCCATCCAGCAGAACCATGCTTGTTTTGTTGACCACTGTATTCTAAACACTTAACGTGCACATGCAAGTAACTTACCCCAGATAACAGTCTGAGAAGTAGTGATTCTGACATAGTTGGCAAAGCACAAGGAATGAAGCTTAACTAAATATGTAGAATAGAGGCTGAATGGACTAGGAAACCATATATGAAAAGCTTTATTAAAAACAGCAGAAGAAACCACACCAAGATGACGTTACCCAGCCAACAGCATTGGCATCCTCCACATAACCCTTTAACTGCTACATCACTGAACTTCTCCAGCTTGACCACTGAAGGAAGTTCTGTTATTCAGGGTTCAGTGAAGGATTCTGAGAGGAAATTGTCTGCTACAATTTTGAATAAGTACTTAGTTTGGATTGATCTCTTCAAGAAGGTGTAAGTAGATAAAAATTAAGACCTTAAAAGGATTTTACACCTTAAAATTTGGAAAACTCAATCAAAGAAGCATAGAAAGCAGGCATTTGATGAACTTTTATTTTAGGAAATATTTAAATTTTAAACATAAGCTTGCCTGTCTTGAAGTTTTCAATTATGTTGAACTTAAAGATATTATGAGCCAAATAAAATCTAAGGGGAATAACAAACTAGGAAAAATGTTAGTAGCAGTAATGATATTGATGGCATGTGAGTATCTTCTTAATATATAAATAGCTTTTACAGACTGCTATGAAAAATGCCCATGAATTATTTATAAAGCTGCCAATTACATGACTGGGTGATTCAAAAAAGAAATACTATTAAAAATAAACAAAATCTTTAGCCACTTTAGTCATCAATTTTTTTTTACTTAGAAAATTGACAAAAAGAGAATGATATTATTTAGGATTGGCAGAGTGAAGAAATGAAAATCACATGTAATTGTTGGAATTGGAAATCTGAGTAACTTGGAAGGTATATTGGCAGTTCCAGAAGCCTTGAAATATCCCTGCCCTTTGACCTTTCACTTCTGAAAATTTATATTGGTGAAGTGAAAGTATGCAAAAAATATTTAGTTGTAAGAGGTTTATGGCAGTGATATTTATATTAATGAAAGTAGAATCATTACACGCAAAGGGGTGGCATGTCCTTGCCATGGAACATAACAGCCATTTGAAATGATGTTCTGGAAGTGGATTTTTGGAGAAGGATGATACTTGTGGTGTATTAAGTGAAAAAGCAACATATATAAGAATATGACCCTATTTTTAATTAAATAAAATATACTCTATTGTGCTGGCTACCTGCTTCTAAGTAGGAAACAGAATTTACTTTCCTACTGTATCTTCCTTCTCCTTAGGCTCCTCCCTTCTCCTTCCCTCTTCTCTCTCTTCCTTTCTCCCTTACTTTCTTTTCTTTTTTTACATAACTAGATATTTAATTGGGAAAAAGAACTACATGTTTTGGATGAATATACATGTATTGAAATGGCATATACTCACTATAAAGTAAGCTTTTGGTTCCCAACCCCTAGTCTTTCAGACTACCACTGTTAAAAATTCCTTGACAGTTCTATTGATATGTGCATAAATGCCCTTGTGTGTATGTATTGTTTATTTGTCATTTTCATTTAACAGCAGAGCCTTATTAAACAAAAGATTTAATGAAATGTTAGAGTCAGCACATTAAAATCAAGAACAAGACAATATTTAACATTTTTCTCTAGGTTTTAATAAGTGAAACCAAATAGGAAAAGGAATAAAATAAAGATAGTGAACTGGAAACAAAATTATGAATAATTACAGATCATATGATTGCTTGCTTGGTGAATAAAAAGATGGTCAACTAAAAAACTTGAAAATAATAAAGGAGTTGGACAAATTGGACAGTTAAATATTAAACATCCTTTTGAATATACTTGGTAGTATATTGGATCGAACCTACAGGAAGCTCATATTTTAGTAAAGGCAGTTATAGAGCTATCTTAGCAAAGCCTAAAAGCAGTCCTTGAAAGAACCTGGCTACCAGCAAGTTATTTAACTGTTAAAAGGAAATTGATTCAAATATTCAGTACTATTTTCATACTGTACAAAAGCCAATAAAAATTACTATTTATGCAAAGAGGCAGGAGAATATAACCCATAATTAAGAGAAAAAAAACAAACTGTCGATAGAAGCATGCACAGAAATAACTGAGATGATGAAGATAGCAAGAAAGGACTTTAAAATATTTGTTATAAGTGCTCTGCGATTTAAAGGGAAATGTGAACATAATGAGAAGAGAGATTTTTAAAAGGATCAAATGGAACTTCTAATGCTGAGAAATGCCTGAAATGAATTCACTTGGCTAGCTTACCAGCAGATTTGACACTGCATCAGAAAAGATCAGTGAGCTTGAGGACATGGCAATAGAAACCATCCAAACTGAAGCACAGAGAGAAAAATGAAATTAGTGTAGCCGGTGACCTGTGGGACAATGTCAGATGTCTGACAAACATATAATGGAGTGGTTTGGGGGGCGGCAGGAGTGGCGGAAAAACTATTCGAAGAAGTGATGTCCGAAAATTTCCCAAATTTGACAAACAGCTATAAACCCCACAGATCCCAGACACTGGATGTAACCCAAACAAGATAAACATAGAGAAACATAATGGAGGGCTGAAAGTCAATGAAAAAGGAAACTGTGTCTTAAAACTGCCTGAATAACACAGGCATCATGCACAGGGAACAGGTTAGCACCACCGCTTGCTCTGTGCCTGCAGCAGTGCAGGCCGGGAGACAGTGGAGTGCGTCTCGAAAGTGCTGAAAGCAAAATATCACTCTCAGATTCTATAACCACTGCAACTGTTTTTCAAAACTGAAGGTGAAATTGGCGTTTTTAGACAGAGGGCTTAGAGAATTTATTGTGAGCATGCCTCTATTACCAGAAATATTAAACATTTTAATAACACTAATGGAAAGGTGGATTTACATAAAGAAGTGAAGAGCAGCTGAAAGAGTAAATATGTGAGTGAGTATAAAAGGTAAAGTTGAAAATCAGCATTTACATGAAATTATGATCTGATTGGTTTTGAGCAGCTTGTCACCTTTTTTATATTTGGAGCTTTTCTGTTCTCATCAGCATTGTATTTTGTTTTTAGGGATTTTTTTTTGAGTTGTTAGACTTTATATAGATTATAATTTAACATTTTAGATTATTCCTGTGAAACTGTGTATAAGATATGTGAAAAGCTTTGTTTAAAGTTTAGTATTCTGAGAAGTGTTTAAATGCACTGTGCATGAAACTCCATTTGTGACTTTTGGCCAGAGAGAGTGTTTATAGGGAAGAGGGAGCTATTGGACTTCCTGGGGACTTTGAGCTTATGTACTTGACCACACCATCATCCATTCGCCGTGCTGCTGCCAAGGTAGTCTTTCTAAATGGTGTGCTTCATTCCTTAAATCTTATGTTGCATTTTGCAAAATCCTTCATGACTTTTTATCACACTTAGAATAAGAATTTCGCTGTAACCTTCCAGAATTCTTACATAATTTGGATTACACTAACGTTCATTTTCCCTTCCTGAGCTCTAGCCACCCCAGCCACCTTCTTTTTCCTCAGGGCCCTCACATTTGCAGTTTCTCTGCTGGGAACGCTTTCCTTCCAGATCTAGGCCTCACTTGCTCCTTCTCACATGGTTCTGGTCTCAGTTCAAATTGTGTCTTTTCAGAAACACTTTATGTGAACATTATGCATAAAGAGCCTGTCTTCTAACTTACCTTCACTAGTAGCCACTATTCTACTCCTCTGTTTAATTTTCTTTATAACAATTATCACGATTTAAAATACTCCTATTTATTATGGGAGCAGGAATGCTATTTGTCAGGTTTACTACTGTATCTACCGGAGCATAGTAGGCACTTACTGTTTGGAAATGAATGACTGTCCTATATGGTTACTTACTAATACATATCCATTTTTCATCCCTGATTCTCACTTCTAGCTTCAAAAAAAAAATCTGCTAGTGGTGTCATGTTTTTAAAAACAGTGTAAAAGCTGCACCAAATGATTTAAAAACTTTAAGTGAGTTAGGGATACCTTGATATCTGTTTTAATGTTTTCACAACACATAAATAAAATGACATACGGAATTGGCAGTGTACAGGTGTATATAAAATGAGAAAAAGACTTAATATTTGTACTTTGTCCTCAAAGTAAAAAAGACCTTGGAGAATGGTTTAGAGTTCTAGTAGGAATAATACTTGAATAGTTAATTAATCTAGACTTCCAGTTCCAATCATGGAATAGCTTCTATCAGGCTGGCCCTACCACCCAAGCAATCATAAAGGTTTGGGGCCACTGGAGAGCAGCTAACTCAGGTCGGATTTCCTTAAGAGAAGGTTAACTCCATATAAACATTGACTTTTTTTTTGCCTCAGGGCATTTTCCAAGTCATGCTACAGAGTGGTAGGGGCCAAGCCTCACCTGGTGGACTAGGGCCAGGAGGCTGTGGTCATGTCTTGGAGCTGCCAGAATGACTGAGACATGAGACACAAAATCTCAAGATGGGGCGGTTGTAGAGGAAAAGCCCACAATTTTACGCACAGAATTTTGCTAAGTTGTTGGTTGATTCTGTGATTGAAGGCTCAAGGAAATCCACCAGAAAACAGCATTTGGGGGCTAAAGGGCAAAGGAGAAAAGTTAGGTCACATGGTTCTAGGGAGACAGAGGTTAGTGTTCAAGGCTGCCAAAGGGGCGGTCCTTTGGTAAGCACCCCAGGCTTTCAGCTGAGTGTCAGGGAGCCACTCTAAACGTAGAGGTAAAACTGAGATAGATACCCCTAAAAAAAGCCTAAAACCACGGTAATCTGCCTGTACTCACCCTGTGTTTCAGAAAAAAACATAACCTTCCTAGAAAGAAGATAATTTCCAAAGCCTTGACACTTTTTCATTGATATTGTCTGGCTTTCAATAACAAATTAAAAGCAGGCTAAAAAAAGGGGGCAGGAAGGTATAGCAATATCTATAATCAAAACGGAAGGGAAGGTATAGATACAGCAATGCATCTGCACAAAAGAAATGTATGTGAGATTATCCACTGGAAAAGTTTTCATAATAGCAAAATATTAGAAATATGCTAACAGACCACCAGTAGGGGTTGGTTAAATTATATCTATCTCTATAATGTAGTAGTTTTCATACTGGCACTATTTGCATTTGGGGCTGGACAGTTCTCTACTGTATGATATCCTGACCATGACAGGACATGTGACATCTTTGGCCCCAGCACAATAAATGCAGATTGTACCTTCAAGGTTTGAGACAACTCAGGATGCTCTCACACCTTTCCATAAGCCTCTTGGATGGGACATTCCAACTGAAAATCATTATTATCATGTGCAGCTGTAAAAAAAAAAAGAGAGAGAAAGTTGTTTATAAACTAATTTGGAAAAACCACTGGGATACATCGTAAGAGTAAAATACAAGGTAGAGAGCAGTAAGTGTGCTTTGCTATATTTTGTTTAAGATAGGAGGAAAATAAGAATATATATTTGGATTGCTTGCATATGCATAAAAATTCTGTACTAACACATAAGTTAATGTGATTATCTGTGAGGCTTGGTGGTATGAAGAGAGATGAGATTTCTAGGGTGATATATATTTACTATGTACTTTCTTAAGCTGTTTTAATTTTTTAAATATTGTGAGTGTAGTACCTATTCAAACATTTAAATAATAAAATTTTAGATATAAACAGCTACTATGTTAGATATAATAATTCCTAAGAAATTTATTTGAAGCTTATGTGTTCATTTAGAAAATGTTCTGGTCTTTTTCCAATTCTGCCTTTTTTTCCCTTTGTTTTCACTCAGTGGAGTCGGGCGGAACTGGGGCTGGGCATCTGCAGGTAGCAGCATTCTCGCTGAATTTGGGACACTGCACATGGAGTTTGTCCACCTCAGTTACTTGACAGGGGACCCCGTTTACTACAAAAAGGTTAGTTTTCTTGCCTTCTTTGTTATTAAAGAATCATTTAAGCCCTGGCTGGTGTGGCTCAGTGGATTGAGCACCAGCCTGTGAACCAAAGGGTCGCCGGTTTGATTCCCAGTAAGGGCACATGCCTGGGTTGCAGGCCAGGCCCCCAGTAGGGGGCTCAAGAGAAGCAACCACACATTGATGATTCTCTCCCTCTTTCCCTCCTTTCCCCTCTCTCCAGAGATAAATAAATAAAATCTTTTTTAAAAAAAGAATCCTTTAAGATTTACCAAAAGACTTGACTAATGCTTAGAAAATGATGGCCTTGCCGTGACCCAGGTGGGCTCAGGCATCAGTCCACAAAGCACAGAGTTGCCAGTTGGATTTCTGGTCAGGGCACATGCCCGGGTTGCAGGTTTGGTCCCTAGTCGGGGCATGTACTAGAGGCAACCAATTGATATTTCTCTCTCAGATTGATGTTTCTCTCCTTTTTTCCCACCTTTCCCAAACTGGCTTTAAAAATAAAATCTTTTAAAAAAAGAAAACAATTGCTTTTCCAGAAATGTGTTTGTCAGAACTCTAGGCTGGTTTTTCTTTTTAAATTATCTAGAAAAAATGTCCTTTCTATTTATGACATATTTAAAATATTTGCTGTTCTTTGAGAAGTTTTAACCACTTAGAAGGCTTTAAAAAAATTGATTGCCACCTCTATTCAGCATTGTGGTGAAATTTCTAGCCAGCATGGTAAGGCAAGAAAAACAAAATGAACAAAAGTTCAAGAATTGAATTGACTTGAAAAGGAAGAAAGAGCCCTGGCTGGTATGGCTCAGTGGATTTATTGCTGGCCTGTGGACCAAAGGTTGCTGGTTCAATTCCCAGGCTAGGGCACATGCCTGCATTGCAGGCTTGGTCCCCAGTGGGGGACACGTGAGAGGCAACCACGCATTGATGTTTCTCTCCTTCTCTTTCTCTCTCCCTTACCCTCTCTAGAAATAAATAAATAAAATCTTTTTAAAAAAATATGAAGAAGACCTGGTGGATTGAGCATGGGCCTGCGAACCAGACAATCGTGGTTCGATTCCCAGTCAGGTCACATACCTGGGTTGCAGGCCGGTTCCCTGCAGGCCAATTCCCAGCAGGGGATGCACTAGAGGCAACCATACATTGATGTTTCTCTCCCTCTCTCCTTCCCTTCCCCTCTAAAGATAAATAAATAAAATCTTTTAAAAAAATATGAAGAAGAAAGTAATCACAAATTACATGATTACCTAAAATATTAAGACAATTTACATTTAAATCATTACAAATAAGAGCTTAATATATTTTTTAAGACTATAGATATTAAAAGTCAGTAGCATTTCTTTGCATCGGCTAACCAGGCAAGAAAGTATCACTTTACAAAAACATACATTATGTGATAGGAACAAAAATGTAAGTTTTCTACAGATAAATCTACCAAAAGATAAACAAACTCCAAAACTATTGAATGCTATTGAAGAAGACCTTAATGGAGAGATGTGTCATGTTCCTGTATCGTTAAACAAGATAAGAATTTCAGTTATCTCCAGACTGATTTTTAGGATCAGTTCATTGCCAATCAAAACTTTTTGCTTTATATTTCTATTGTTGCTTAGTTTTTAAATATCATATGTCATAAAAAATGAGACATTTTAAAAACAGAAGCTATTCTTGACCACCACACACACAAATAGCAGAGGAGGTAGTGACGGTTCTGAGTAAGGAAAAAACATAAAGTTAGTTTAATATAAGCACTGATGACATATAGTTTTGTTAATTGCATTATTTGTTTTGTTTAGGTCATGCACATTCGGAAACTACTTCAGAAAATGGAACGTCCAAATGGTCTTTATCCAAATTATTTGAACCCAAGAACAGGTCGCTGGGGTCAGTGTAAGTATTTCTAGTACAGTTGATGCTTTGTTAAAAGATTATTTGTGTGAAACTTTTGCTTGATGTAGTGAAAAGTACATTACCTGTAGCATGAGAAGCTCCCAGTTAGCGTCTAACCCTGTGTTTTACTAGTACAGTTATCTTTGGCAAGTTTCCAATGTCTTGTAGCTTTAGTTTTCTACTTGTAAAATGGACACATTAACAACCTATCTAATAAGAGTATTTTATTTCTTGTATATGTAAGCGCTTTGTTAAAATGTGGTAGAGCATTTGCCGAGAGTTGTACCTGAAGCCCCTGTTTATAAAGCATATCTTCATGTAAATAAGGGGTAGGTGTTTACTGAAGTGAGAAACTAGAGAGTATCGTGAATGACCAGGAACGGGCTGTGCCTCCTGAACAAGCTGTGTCCAGTCGTTCGTCTTAAAGGAGGGCGTCAGTGTCTGTTACTTACTGGGCTCTGCGCCAGGTTCCTGGATGAAACCGGAGATGGGGGAAATATGTAGGGCTTGGTCTGAACTCAGGGAGCTCCCAGGCCAGCGGGGTAGGCAGGCAGGTACACTTAGAAGTGGGTGGAATATGATGTGGTAAATGCTGTAGCTGCGGAGGCTACCAGCTGTTACGTGAGACTGTGGTGGAAGTGATTCCCTCTGTCTGCGGAGAAAGCCTTTTGTCTGGCGAGGGGGTGATTTTCTTATTACAGCTTCAGAATTGCTCTTTGAAGAAATTGGCTTTTTAAAAATAAGTATTTATATGGAACCTACAGAATTTTAATAAATTATGGGTTTATTAGTAGTAGTTTCTTAAAAGTCTGGAAAACTAAACTTAAGTTCAGTTTAGTTTTAGTTACATTGGAGGCAAAGTCACAAAGTTGTGACTTTGCCTCCAATGTAACATGTTTGGATTACTTTTGAGACTAATAATAAAACAAAGTAGTGCCCTGGCTGGTGTAGCTCAGTGGATTAAGCGCGGGCCTGCAAACCAAAGGATTGCGGTTTGATTCCCAGTCGGGGCACATACCTGGGTTGCAGGCCAGTTCCCAGCAGGGGACACACAAGAGGCAACCATACATTGATATTTCTCTCCCTCTCTCCTTCCCTTCCCCTCTAAAGATAAATAAATTTTTAAAAATTAAAAAAATAATAAAACGAAGTAGTGAAAAAGAGGTAGAAGTAACAATCACCTAATTTTATGTGTGGGGATCTCTGTCGAATCTCCCAGTGAGAAATTATGCAGGCATATGCTACCAAGAATAGGAAAATATTTGCCACGGAATTGTCTTTTGGGCTCCCCCAAGGAAATTGACATCTACTTTATGAAAGGAAAACAGATTGGTCAATGCAAGTATATCTTTCAAGGATCTGGGAATAAACTTCATTCTTTTGGCTGTTCATATGTACTTCTCTTTTCCTTTCCTGAAATTCTTTAAATAAATGTAATTTATTTTCTATGTCTAATTGAACTTAGACTAAATTCTATGAATTTACTAAATTCATAGAAATTACTAAATTCTATGAATACTATGTGTAAGTATCATTTAGACTGACTAAATGATACTTTACTTAAAAAAAACAAAAACCTGAGAGCAGCATTTCTAACATATAAAAATGTACTTTTCTTATTTTAGGTAAGGATGACTGGTTTGGGTACGTACTCAGTAATTAGGGTGAATTTTTTCCCCCTTAAGTATTTTTTTAAGATTTGGGAATATAATAACACTGGTGGGGGGAGGGATTCTGTGCATTTTCTTCCTGTGCCAGTATATGTTTTATATAGTGTAACTATTTAACTGTAAAAAAATGAACATAAAAGTACTAAAAAAATGGTTAGTTGTAATCAGGAAAGCCTTTCCTAAACATGGCACATAAAGCAGAGATCATAAAGAAGGGGTCAGAGTTCACTATATTTAAATGTTAATCTCCTGCAATTTGTAACAGCAGTCAAGTAATGAGCCAAGCAAATATATTTGAATATATTTGGAAAACAAAGTTTTCATATCCTCTCTATATCAAGAACTTTTGTAAGAACATAGGAAAAGATGATCAACACCAATAGAAAAATAGTTTGGCAACAGTTCACAAATGACCGGTGGACACATGCTCACATTTAACTTTGGAAGTGGTGTTACTGGTGTTAGTGGGACCTGGAGCCAACATAATATGGCAACATTCTCTGTGTCTACAGTGGAATTTATAAAGACTGCCGTCTTTGTACCACGTTTGTGCCATCTCCACGGACTGGAGACCTCTGTGGCTCTCTTTTCCCACTCCACCAGCTCCCTCATAAAATCAGAGCAGCTTTCAAACAGAACACCCTATTTTCTTCCCCTCAGTATCATTGGCAGTATTTTTAAATTTATTAATTTTAATTTTCAGTTACAGTTTATATTCAATATCACTTTGTATTGTTTTGTGTTTGTGTTATTTTATATTAGGTGTATAGTATAGTGGTTAGACAGTCACACACTTTACAAAGTGTTCCCCTCAATGTATCTAGTACCCACCTGGCACCATGCATAGTTTTACAATATTATTGACTATAATTCTCTATTCTGTACTTTACATCTCCATCACTACTCTTAAAACCAGCAATTTGTACTTCTTAATCCCTTTAGTTTTTTACTCAGTCCCCCAACACTCCTCCTCTCTGGTGACCTCCAGTGTGTTCTCTGTATTTACGTGTCTTTTAATTTTTGTTTGCTCATTTATTTTGTTCTTTAGATCCCACAAATAAGAGAAATCATATGGTATTTGTCTTTCACTGACTAATTTCACTGAGCATAATACCCTCTAGGTCCCTCCATGCTGTCGCCAATGGTAAGATTTCATTCTTTTTATGGCAGTGTAGTATTCCATTGTGTAAATATGCTGCAGCTTTTCTACCCACTCAGCTACCGATGGGCACTTGGGCTGTTTCCACATCTTGGCCATTGTAAATAACACTACAGTGGACTCAGTGGTGCACATATTCTTTTGAATTAGTGTTTCAGATTTTCGAAGACGCTGTTCTTTACATATTAAATTGTCAAAGGAAACGAACATGTCCCTGTATGCAGTGGTTCAAAAAGAGTGGAAATTTGTCTGCCCTTTGAGTCAGCAGCTCATTTCTAGGCATTTCCAAAGAAATTTGCAGAGCTACAAATATAAAAAGTTTATTTACCATACCTTTAGTGTTTTTTATAATAGGGATATTTTGGAAATATTTTAAAGCCAGGACTATTTAGTAGAACTTTTTTTTAAGAGAGAGGAGGGAGAGAAATACATGTGAGCGAGAAACATCAATCAGCTGCCTCTCATCTGCGCCTCTACCGGGGACTAAACCTGCATCCTAGGCATGTGCCCTGACTGGGAATAGGACTGTGACCTTTCAGTTCATGGGATGGTACTCCAACCAAGTGAGCCTCCCTGGCCAGGACGGTAGAACTTTTTATGACTAGAAAAACGTTCCGTATAGGTCCTAATACAGTAGTCAGCAGCTACGCATGGCTATTCAGCATGGAAATGTTGCTAGGAGAGTTGTGGAACTGATTTTAAATTTTATGTACTTTTAATTAATTTAAATTTACATAACTGCTGTGACTATTGCCTGTTGCACTGGACAGTGCAATTTTAAAACATCCTACTAAAGAGATTTGGTTAAATTAATTAGACTCTCTATAGATGTGATATATTGAGTTGGCCAAAAAGTTCATTTAGTTTTACCTGTAAAATAAAAAACATTTTTCATTTTCACTAATAATTTTACTGATTTGGATATTTTGAGTATGTTGGCTCATCTCCTGTGCAATATAATGTTGATTGTTCTCAGTTAATGTCTCAATTTGATCGCTAGCAACTTCAACTGGTCTATCAGACCATGGAGCATTGTCCAGCAAGAAATCTCAAGCACAAAACTTCACAAACCACTTTTGATCTGTTTGATCAGTCACAGCACCTTCTCTATACACTGCACAAATCCTTTTTTGAGTTTCGGTTGCATTTTTACCTTTCTTGAAATAATAAAGCACAATATACCAAAAATGTTGCTTATTTTCTTCCATCCTCAATATTAAAATGGCTGCACAAAAATTCACCAATTTTGATAAGTTTTTTTTAATGAATGCTGCTGTGATAGCTGTCACCATACAGTCTAACAAAATTGTTTCGAACTTAGAGACAGCTAAGCACTACTAGAGCCATTTTACAGGATAAAACAAACCTTTTGGCCAACCCAATACTGTGTAGTCTTTAAAGGTTACGTTGTACAATACTTAACATGGATTAATATGACATATCTGGAAAGATATTTAGAGAGAAAACCCATGCTACAAGACTGAAAACCAAAGTGTTGTCTGTGTTTCTTTCTGAATGTTTTTTTGTTTATCTTCGGTAACCTAAGTTTGATAATGAATATCTGTTACTTTTGAAATAATATAAAAAACATTTTTAAATAAAAAAGAGGATGCCATCTTCTACCCCTAAATCTTAGAATACTGAAAAACATGTCACTGTTTGAGAATTGTCAGCCTTTGAAATAGCCAGTGGGATAGCATTGATAGCATTTTATTTATAAGAATATAACACTTCTTCTTTAGCAAGTGGTGTTGTGGAAAATGGAGAGCCACATATGAAAGAGTGGACTTGGGCCCTTATACCATATGCAAAGATTAACTTAAAATGCATCAGAGACCCTAAGTTTAAGATCCAAAATTAAACCTTTTGAAAGAAAACGGACAAATCTTCAGGACCTTAGTTTTGTCAATGGTTTATTCAAAAGCAGAAGCACTAATAGAATTAGATTTAATGAAAATATAAGTACTTGTACATAAAGGACTCAGGACAATGAAAGTCAACCCACAGAATGAGAGAAAATATTTGCAAATCTAACAAGGGGCTTAATATCATTATCTATAAAGACCTTTTTACAACTCAACAACAGAAAGACAGGCACTCAATTTAAAAAATGGGCAAAGGACTTGAGACATTTTTTCAAAAGATACAAAAATGGAAAAACACATGAAAAA